ATTTGCAGCGTCTACGTGGGCTTTGCTGTTCCTCCCACCCAGTCCCTAGTTCCTACTCATGTATCTGTTTTCCAGGGTCAGAGTTGTTTCTGAGGCAAACTGAGAGCCAGTTTCCTTGCATGTGAGTAGAGCAATACAAAATACTTGTTTGCTTTCTCTCCTTCACCTTCTGTTCCCAAACGGTGGTTCCCCACCCAGGCAAGGAGCAGGGGTGAGGTCTGCAAGAGCACAGCTATACTCAAATTTCCACTGTGCCCCCCCTTGCACCTCTGTGCAGAGCAATAGATGGTTCCCACAGGACACAGCTCCTGCTGCAATGCACTGGCTGGGAAGGCATCAGAGCTGCAGTCTGACACAGGACCAAGTTGAAGCAGTTTGGGTCTTATTTGCCCCTGTGACCTTGGATTAGTCACTTCAGTGTGCACATCTCAGTATTCAGGGGAGCGGGATGGCACTGATGGCACTGCAGCATCTCAGCACATCATTTCATGTCTCCCTCAGCCACTGGCCCTAAAATGGAGACCAGGATAAGAGCCCAGAGAGGGCAAGCTGTGACAGCAGTGCTGTGCTGGTGTTGCTGGGAATGACATGTTGCGCTTTCCAGTCTCCTAGAAGGAAGGAGACTTCAAACAACCTAGTGATTCAGCCCTTGATGGCAGCAGCACACTACCTGGGGGAAGGACAGAACCCCACAGAGGAAGCAGGAGCTTAAATGGCTACTGTAGATGTGCTAAACTGAATATTTAAATCCTTTTAACAAGGATCAAAGAGTTGGCTTGGCACAGATAACAAATCTGAAAATTAAGTATACACCAAGAACTTGCAAATCTCAGCCCCTCTAAACAAATGTGAAAGGCTAAAAACATCTTTAAAATGCAGCCATAACACAATTATTGAAAATGTCTTTTAAAGAGAAGCCTTTATGTGAGCAGAAGAGCTTCCCCAACAGAAGGAAAGGCAGCCCGGAGTGGTATCCTTGTTACCAGCATCAGCAGATGAGTGAGAGAGGCAGTCGACTGTTTGAAGGGAATGAAATCTTTCACTTTCTGACCACACAGATTAGACACGAGGAGAAAATGTTGGCTGTTTTCAGTTATCTTGTGGTACTGAGAAGAAACCATCAAAGGGAAACCGTCTGCTTTGTGGGATAATCGTTGGGCAAGCAAGAGGATGCTGCAGATAAAGGAAGATGAGGCTTACCCAGAGAGGCTGAGCCACAAAGAACAAAGATTAGTATTGGGGATGGCCTCACCTATGGGGAAAAGGAAATGGTAACATGGGGGAAAAGCAGTGCAAAAACTTCAAGAAATTTGGGTTCCTCGAGTGTGTTCTTGCAGCAGTGTGCACTGCCTTAAATTTCTTACTGAAGTTTTGCTGTTGTGATCAAGTTCTCATTTTGTAGTTTATAGAAGTATCATCTGCAGCTCAACTTTTGCAGTATTTATGTAGGCAAAATTCCCAGTGTTTTAAGGGGATTTTTCCATTGGTAGGTATGGGCTCTTAGGGCTTACTTTTGACTGGGTGAGGGCTTGGAGTCTGCACAATTACCATACCGTAAGTATTAACAGATCCTTCCTAATAGGAAAGTTATTTGAATTTAAGATTGTAGCTTAGCTTCTCTAAACTCTACATAATCTATTTACTTACACTACAGCTTTCCTTCTGCACTTCCTAATCTGCAGCTGTAAAGATTCAAAATGCTTCACAACCTACAACTTATGTATATTGATGGAAATGGCTCTGGAAGTCATGCCATGCTGCTGGAGCACGCCTAGTGACATTGCAAAGCCAGAATTTGGTCCTGGAAGCCTTCAGTCTGCTCCCAACTCTGCCCCATAATTGACTTCCAATTAGTCCTATGGGTCAGCTCCCCTCTTTTGAGTGATGGAGTTCTGTTTCATGCCTTCCCTCATGTTGGTAGTTTCAGATCAGCGGGTGAGCCTGTGAGGATGCTCCACAAGACAACCTTGCTCCATTCAGCTCAGTGCCAAAAGGAATCCTACCCAACAAAGTCACAGGTATGTGCTGCCACTTCTCACCCCTTGCCAGCTCCAGAACTCCTCTGAACCTCACCCCAGAGCCAAATTAACTGGGTACCTTGCAGAAAATTAAGGAGAAAAAAACCCCAAGGCTTTGATAGGTTTTTCTGTGACAGTGAGCAGAACAGAAGAGAGGCAGCTCCCACCAACACCCGACGTGGCACAGGGGGATACTGAGGCTTAGTGGTGGGATGAGGGGTGTTTGTGAAATGGGGATGCCCTGGGGCACTCTGCAGCCCAGATAAACCAGCAGCAGACCTGTTTCCCAACACTATCCTGATCCAAGGACGAGATGAGTGAAGGCTGCACCCCTCTCCCCCAGGACACTGGCAGGACTAGCTCCACGTAAGCCTCCTCCCCTCCCCTCTGACTCAGCTCTAATGCTATGCTTAGCTTCTCACTCTCTCCTTCCTCAGGCAACTTGGTTCACTGTTCTTCACTCCCCCTTTGCTGACCGGCTGCTTGATATCGCTCCACACGCCCAACTGGCAGCACTGGCTCCCCCCAGCACTCCCAGGATACATCCCCACACCCACCTGAGCATGGGATACAGCCTCCCCTTCCCCTGCCATGATTTCTGGGGCCATATCCCAAGCTCAAGCACCCTGCATTCCTGTGAAGTTTGAAATCTTTGGGGCACATATAGAAGTTGTAGGAAGGTGCTGGAAGAGGGTCAGGGTTCAGGGTGTTCCTGCAAGCATCATGGAGCAGCACTGCAGCTCAGAGAGCATATGTTACTCCAGCTATGAGTCAAGTCATTTATTTAATGAGACAAAGAAAGAAAGAAAAAGAATCAGGGTGAGAAAACACACCTGGAAGGAAGTCTGGGTTGCTACATGATGGCGTTATGAGATTCCCCTTTTTGTTCATCCAGCAGCCTAAAGACCTCGGTGCCTTTTCTGACTCAGTTGGGACACAAAACGGTGTGGGATAGATGGGAATTCCACATGCTTTCATGCTGAGCCAGGAAAGGCCATACAAACCAGGGATGTGTGGCAGGCTTTACAGATTGACGTTATTTTACAATAGTTTGGTCTTGCTCCTCTTCTGAGGATTGATTTCTTTCTTAATGTGTGTGGATGAGCAATCAGCTGCAAGGACAGGAAAATGTTACTGTGCAGGCCCTTTGCAGCAAGAAAAGCAAATCTGGTCCAGGTTCACTCATAAACAGGTGAGTGCATTGGGACACAGCCACGTTTGGTTTTGGGAAAACTTGCTCCTGGCAGTAGATGACACACACCAGAATGGGCATGTCACTGCTCCTACACACTCACCGTGGAAGCAGGGGACAGCTCTGTCCCCAGAGCTCAGAGGCCATCAGGCTGCTCACACCAGGCCAAAGGCTGGACACAGTGAGAAGACCCAACACTGCTGTCAGAGTTGTCTGCACACAAGGCAACTCCACTCTGGAAGCACCTGAGCTTTGTCAACACCCCCCAGCCAATATGGGTGAGTTATCTTATTGTAAGCATCCGAGACTTTAATTAAACCACGCTTTATAAGTGTGGGCACGATGCCACATGGGGAGGTTATGTACCATTACACCTTGCCCTGAGGGTGTCTTGACTTGGGTCTCCACAATCCTGAAGATTCCTGCACTGCTGAGGGCCTGCCTCCAGCCCTCCAACCCCAGAGAGTCAACTGTAGGGTTGAAGACGCGCAGCTTTACAGGTGATGCTTTGCTTACTCTGACTTTTATATTCATCATACAAAATTAATAATTTACTGCTAACAGTTGAGGTTTCTAGGACTTCACCAGTTGTTTTGAAGAGCCAGGAGGTGATATTTTGCCCAGAAGTAGATTCTGAATTGATTTTTATTTTTATTTTAAAGCTTTCCCTTTCTGCAGCAAATATTGGCATTTCTGTTCTTTGTCCCAAAGTCAAGTGAAGAAAGTACAGAACTTTAAAATTTTCTATAGAAGTGCAAATCAAACTTCCAGAGATCTATTTTCTTTTGCCTTGCCTACAGGCTTTGAAGGTTTAAAAACCTTTTAAACCAAGGTTTGGGGGTTTGGTTTGAGGAAGGGGTAGAAGACAATGCTTAATTACATTTAGTTCTAAAGGATGTCTTAAATTTTTACAGAAAACTTTCAAATAGTAAAACAAAACAAAATAAACTCAGATAAGGAAATACTCTTTCTTTTCCCTGAGGGTGCCTGAAAACTGCACAACATAAATATAACCCTAAACAAAACTTGCTTGAATTGTCTCTTATCTGAGAAATGCAGAAGAAAACAACTGCTGAAAGAAGTGTCACACGGGGGGATTCTTCGATTACTGGTCCACTTCTTCGAGCTGCCTTAAAAAAAAAAGAAAGGAAAACCATCAATTATGTAAGAAAACTCGGCTCTCCTCCCGGTGAGTGACAAAGTGGCTCTTCCCCCCAGGACCTGGCAGACCAGGCAGCTGCCGGTGCCGCTCTGCCCGGGCCACTTTGCGATTTTAAAGTCTCTTGCAAGGAGCCGGCCGGGAGAGGCTCCCCCCGGCCCGCCCCGTCCAGCCACAGCGATGGCTTGTCTTGGCCAAACCCCGAGACTTCGGCGTTCGTCGGGAATGAAAGAAAGTGACATGCTGGAAGGAGAGGAGTGGGGGAGAGAGGAAGGGCTGTCCCTGCTCCTGCAAGGGCGGGATCTTTTCTCCTGCTTGATCTATGGAGCCCGCCCCCTTAAATTGACTCCCGGGAGCGCCCCGTCCACCAGCCCGACGGGGGGAGAGGCGGAAAGCGAGGGAGAGCAGGCAAGGCAGGCAGGCGGGCGGGCGGGCGGCTCCCCCGTCCCGGCCCGTCGGTCCCGACCCCGGCCCGTCCGCCCCCGCGCACCATGCGCGGCCCCCGGCGCCCCGCGCCCCGCCGGCCCGCCCGCCCCTAACGCCGCCCGGCTCCGGCGCCTTCCCCCGGCAGCGCTCCGGGGGCGGGGAGGGGGGAGAGAGGGGCGAAAGGAAGGGAAAAAAAAAAAAAAGAAGAAGAAAAAAGAGGGAAAGGGAGGAAGAAGAAGGAGGAGGAGAAGCGGAGCGCGGGGAAGGCTGCTCCTCCGAGGACAGCGCGCAGCACCATGCAGCTGGCGCCGCTGGCGCTGGCACTCACCACGCTCTTCATCGACGGCTTGAGGACGGGAGCGAGGAGGCAGAAGCTGCACCCCAGGCAAGGTAAGGGGGTGCTCGGGGAGGGGCGGGGCGCGGGTGGGGGGGTGCTGGGCTGCCGCCCCCCCGGGGGGCGCGGAGCTCGGCCACCCCGCTCAGCGACATGTGCATCTCTCTCCCCTCGCAGCCCAGCTGCTGGAGAAGCTCAGCGAGTACGAGATCGTGACTCCTACCCGGGTGAATGAGTTCGGCGAGCCCTTCCCCACCGATGTCCACTTCAGGCGGCGCCGGCGGAGCACCAGCGCTGCCCCCGACGCCTGGACGGCGGCCGCCGCCGCCTCCCCCAAGGCGCACTACAGGCTCTCCGCCTTCGGGCAGCAGTTCCTCTTCAACCTGACGGCGAGCTCGGCCTTCATCGCCCCGCTCTTCACCGTCAGCCTCCTGGGAGAGCCCGCCGCCGACCAGCGGCGCCTGTACGCCGAGGCGGCCGACGCCGACGTGAAGCACTGCTTCTACCGGGGGCACGTCAATGCCCGCCCGCGGCTCACCGCCGTCATCAGCCTCTGCTCCGGGATGGTGAGACCCGCACCCCGCTCCCGCTCCCGGCCGGGCCCCGCCGGGCGCCCAGGGGCGGTGCGCCGGGGCGGAAGCGAGGAGGAGGAGGAGGAGGAGCAGGGCGATGGAGGGTTGGGCAGAGCTTTGGGACCGGCCCCTTCCCCCGCCCTCGGCCGCCGCTGGCGGCACCGGCTTTCCCCGCTCGGGGATTTCTCCCACCCCGCGTTCATTATTCCGTCGGGTTCCTGGGTGAGCCCCTCCTGCTCCGCCGTTTTTGGGGGAAAAACTGCCACCCAGCGGCACCCCGGGGGTCGATTCGCGACGGACCCGGGCACAGACACCCATCTGCCCCCGCAGTGCCGGGGGGCTCCCCAGCAACGCCGGCCCGGGACCACCCGGCACCGCGGGGCGGGAGCATGGCCCGCTGCCTGGTACCCCAGCTTGGTGCTCTTCAGTCCAGGGATGTTGGCACCGGGATGAGCAGAAGCTCCCGGAAGGACTAACTCTTAGTCTGCCCTGGTGCCTTTCAGCCCCCCGGATTACCACTCCCAGGGGCTTCCCAGAAGCCTCTGCTGGCTCTGTCCGGTCCAGCAGCTCCTCTGGGTGCACGTGTATACCTAGGCTAGGGCATGTGTGTGTGGCTGGGTGGGCCTCCCTCCCAGTTACTGGTCCAGCATCCTAGTCTGGGATGGTTGTAGGATGGTTTTTCCCTTGGATATCTTTTATTTGCCCACCAAATCCCTATGTTCGTAGTCATGTGCAACTAGCAATGTTGGCGTCTTCTCATAAGCAGGGATTTCAGTGGCTGGACACTGCCCTCTGGTCAGTGTGGGTTTAAAGCCTATCTTAGAGAGAAATGCTGTGTGAAACCAGCGTGTGATGGGGTCATACTGGGGCCTCCAGCACATTGCAGCACCATTGCCCCTCAGGCAGGGGTGGCTTGGAAACGTCACTGACATAGGGATGGGGTCTGGCAGATGTACCCCTCTCACACCCCCTGCCTATGACTAGTAATTATCTCTCTGTGAGCTCCAGTGGGATGACTGCAGGAAGCAGTGCAGCCCAGTGTGGGTGCAAGCGGTGTGACTGAAGCTTGGAACTCCAGCCTGTACCTTCACAGGGGTCGCTGTAGAACTGGGCAGTCACACACCTCCCTTGTTAACTGCTCACTTTGTGGGGTAGTACTGCTCTGTGGTTTGTCATCGCCCAAAGCTGACCACCTTTTCCTCTGTCTGGTCCCTTTCAGCTAGGCACATTCAAGTCTGACGATGGGGACTATTTTGTAGAGCCGCTGCTGTCACTTGAAGAACAGGAGTATGAAGAAGAACACAATAAACCACATCTTGTCTACCGACACCGGACACCTCCAACCAACTCTTCAGGGGACAGGCAGACTTGCGATACTCCAGGTACTCATTTTGTTACTGCCCTTGATGATTTGGCATTTAAAAGTGCTGTTTGCAGCTAAAAGGCAGGAGGTTTGTGTGGGACAGAAGGGATGTGGAGAACCAGAAATGGTGTTGTGTGCGCTAGGACTGGGCTCGTGATAGTAATGCTGTCCTGGAGAGATGTGGTGCGCCTGTGCTTTCTAGTAATTGGTTATAAGGAAGTTGCGGTCAGGAAAAATGTTCCGGTTTCCCTTTCATCCCTGCTGTAAGGCTGGCAAGAGATCTTTTGGGCTGTCTTGCCTTAAATATCCTATGAGCCTCTAAAACTTGTTTTCTCCTACCTAACCATCCATGGTAATTCCTAACCATCCTAATCTTATTTGCTCTCTGTCTGATATTCTGTTCCTATTCTTTAAGTAGCATCCTTCTGTCTTGGTCTTGCTGTGCTCCTGTTTTTCCCTCCCCAAATCTGGCTGTTGCATGTCTTTTCCTTCTAGTGGAAATGAGAAGGTCCTAACACCAACCCTAACAGTTCTTCCCTTATTAATCACTTTTTCACAGTTCATTTTTAAAGGCTTTTTCTTTTTCCTTGTGGCCCTTCCTCCACCACCACCATCTCCATGACCTTCTCACTCCTTCTTTCTAGTCCTTGCACATATGAAAGAGCACAGGCCTTTTTATCTCCCCTTCACGTGCCTTCATGAGCAATAGCCTTGCTCCTACCGTCCCTGTTATCTGCAGTGGCCTCCTGCTGCTCTCTGCTTTGTTGACTTCCTGATGTTCACAACTAATCCTCTCCTTTGGCAGCAAATACCTAAATTTTCTCTGAAGAAGCTTATTCCTTCAGTCTCCTGTTTCACCTGCTGTTTTGCCCTCTTCCTTTGGCCTGCAGCTAGATCTTCAGGAGCTTTAAAGCCTAAACAGAGTAGACCTTGACTGGGTCCCCTTGCACGGGCTGCAAGCTGCTCATATGCTGCAAAGTAGGTGGAGTTGCTCAGGGAGTGAAGGTATCACTGGAGGAGAAGCGTGGTGCCAAAATTAGGATGCATTTAGCATGCGTGACTTGTTTGGCACCCATGACCATGGATCGTGGCTGTGCTGTTGAGCTGTCAGTCTGTTCAGCTTGCACTGATCATGCTAAGTCAGAAGATGCTCTGATGCTCTGTGACCAGCCAGAGCACTAGCAAAACGTGTTTCTTCTAGGAGACATGTGGATACAAGTCCACATGCAAGCATATGTGCTGGGGTACAATGGTACCTCTCACAAGGCTGTCATTGTTTGTTCTTCCAAGGGTTGCTGCTGGACTATGCCATTCTGGTTTCTCTCTTCCAGCTGTTTCTGCTCCCTTCTTTGAGATCAGATGCAGGAGACTCAGAACAGTTGGAAAGAAACACGGAATCTGGCACATTGCATCAGTAGCCCTTGGAGGAACGGAGCAGCAGATCACAGGACTCATTGAATCAAAGGTAGCTGGGAGGGCTCTGACTTTGGCTTGTGGACTTGACTGTGCTGCTGTAACAGTGTGCTGCATTTCACCCCACTGTATCATAGCTTCCATTTAGGCTATTATTCTTCTGGATCGTGATCCAGAAGAATAATACTCCCTCTGTGGTATTACCTACATGGTGTATATCTCTTCCTCCTCTTTTCCAACATGCTTTGCTCATTTGCCTTTGTTTTCTTGCTCTGCTCAGTTGCTTCATGCAGTGGAGGGAGGTCTCACCTCTCAAATACAAGCTTAAAGGTTCCTGATAGGCATGAGATCTTATTTGTCCTCCCGTTCTCTTTCCCTCCATCTCTGCCTCTGCTTTTTACCATTGTCCAAGCTTTTGAAAGGGAATGATGCTATGGTCGTACGTGTATGGTGAACAAGTCTTGGTCATTTCGTTTAAGGAGTGAGTTCAGGGCAACTTGGGCAATGCTGAACTTTGGTGTCCTCCCTGGGGTTATGTCTGGTGAGTGAGGGTGTCTCATGTCTTTGGAGCAGCAGTGAACATGCAAAATCTAGCAGCACTCACTGTTTGGGACAGGGTACCTCTCTCACTCACACCAGAGAAGAGTGGTTTCATGAGAGTTTAGGATTAGTCATAGCTATGGGATGTTGTGTGAATCCAGTCTTTTGTCAGAAGAACGTGTGAAATGGTGTGTTTGCACCGCAGGTTTTTGGCAGGGGTGGAAATTAATGCGCGGGAAATCTGAGGTACCCACCCTGCAGTGAGCAAGGGAGCCCACATTGCCGGGCAGTGGTACTATTAAAAATTACTTTCTGATAGTCTTCTTCCTGCTTCCTGGAAATGATTAATAAGCAACATGCTGGTGTGCCCTTGCCATGATGATGTAATTCTAGACTTCCTTGCAGTATTCCAGGAAACTTTCCCTTGTGAATTCATTGACAGATTGAGTAAAAGCTTTTCTTTCCAGCAGTCTCCCTGGTCTTACTTTTAGTTTTCAGCGTCCTCAGGTCAGCTTAGAAAAACAGGTATTTGCTTTTGTTACATTTTAATTAGCAGTTTCTGATAACAGCTTTAGGTCCTCTGACATACAAGATACTCTGCAGATGTTCTGAAAAAAGATCCTTTTCCTCTGAACACTGATGGATATCGAATGCAAACTGTGCTCTGCAGATGAACTTTCATAGCACAGCACTGAGGTCTCTGGCAGTGCACTTCAGCCGTCTGGCGTATAGCTCAGCCACCGCAATAAAAACTTTTGACAAAGTTTTCCTTGGGGTAACAGGTTAATGTAGTTTCAGTCATAGGAAATGGTGCAATTTCTTCTCCTTCCCTTCTTTTAGTTAGTGCTGTGAATCAATTTGTCATCTGGCCGAGGATCTGGCAGAGTGATTAGTTGTGTTGCACTGAATAGCCCTGACGGGATGAAGGCTTGGCCGGGCTGACAGTGTGATGTCACTAGGTGCAGCGCCGCTACCACCCATCGCTTCACGATAGCAGGCTCTTCCGATCCCAGTTATTAAATATCCGCCTTTTTGAGGTGGAGGAGGAAGAGAAAAGAAATTGCGATCCTAAAAAAAGAAAAAAAAGGAAGTGGCTCATTGCGAAGCTGGAGCACGGAGCTTTCCTGCGCCCCACAGAGGAACAGTCTGACTCCAGTGATAAAAGACGCGGAGCTGCATCCTGTGGCGCGAAGGGAGCCGTGTCCGCGTGCCGGCCGCCTTCAGGGGGCTGGCAGCAGCTCTCCAAGCCCCCCATCCAGTATGACACTCCGCCAGGAGCAGGCCAGTGAGCCCTACCCACTGGTTTCCACGTGAAACCCTGAAGGTTTGGTCTTGCAGAGAGATGTCCAGCTCCAGGTGCCAACAGGACACTGCCTCTGGTCATCACCTGAATAAACTACTTCAGGCCATCTCTTGTTCTGTATCTTGTGTCTTTCTGCTACTTCTCCTTTCTCTCATTTTCCTTGTTTTCTGTTGTTGATGTATTTGTATATGTGTTTTGGTTGTTGGCTTCTCTGGAGCTCTTCTCTTCCAGTTTTGTTGGGTTTTATCATAGCTTTAGCCTTTTACTGAATGTTACCCAATCATTCTGCCTGTCAGCCACCCCTTGTTCTGAGACAGACATGGCCTTCACATCCACTGAGACACAATTCCCCTGTGTCCATGAGTATAATTGTGAGAACTGGGCTTTTCTGTTGCTCCACTTCTGCTGCCTGCACAGCTATTGCTCCCATCTTTGCAAATTCCTTGCAGCATTTTCTGTGACCCTGGTGCAGAACTCCCAAATGAACGTTATTGGGCAGCTCCTTCTTTGTACCCACTGCCTTCATTTTGCTGATCTGCACTTCCCATTTCCCTCCCAGCTTCCTTAGTTAAATACCTCCCTGTTCTTTCCTCATTTTTCATAATTCTTTTATATTCAAGACTCACTTGGGTCTGAGATGAATAAACCAAGGACTAAATGTATAGTGGGTGCCTGCTGCTCCCATGACTTGCTGCTGGCCAGCTGTGTCTGTCCCGAGGCTGGCATTAGATGTGGACTCTGGGGCTGCGTGTGAGGATCTTGAACAAAGTCCTTGTTCCTTAATGAGAGCGTTTAAAGCAGGAATATCCACCATGGGCAAAACTCCTCAGGCAGAAGCAGCAATAACACTGATGGTGCCAAACTAGTAGGAAGATGATTAGAGCTGTTTCTGTTTCTGGAGGGGAGCCAAGGAGCTGTAGCCAGCAAAGAGGCCTTGCAGCAATATGTGCTGAGGTGGTGAGGTTTTAGAAATGGGCTCATTTGAGTGCAGGACAGAGCAGGTCTTACCTGCGCTGCGCTGGCTGTGCCCCCACCGCTGCCGGCAGAGGTGGGAAAGCCCAGTGACTCACCTGCTGAGGTTGCCTCCAAAAACCACCAAGTACTACAAGCACAGGTGGCTGCAAGGCACAGGCTCCAAGCTTAGCACATCCCAATACCTGCCAGAAACAGATGCAAAAGGGTCTCAGATTTGCAGCTGGGCATTCAGTTGCGGTGTTAAAGCAGTTCAGCTACTGGAGAGCCAGAACATGTGTGGCAAGGCACAGAAGATCCACAAAGGGAAGCCCCACGTACCCATCCACGTGAGAAGGAGAGAAGCTCTGTGTCTCAGTCATGCTGAGAAGGGTTCCTAAGAGGCACTAGAGAAACCAGCAGTGTGAACCAAGTCTTGCCATTGAGCTAGCATAATCAGTATGATTATGCCAGTGGCATAATCATACTATACTATACTGCTCATAGCTATGTAGCTGTGCTTTCTGGCCTTAATATTTTTACATATTGCAAACACAAGTTCCAGGCTTGACATGTGGGACTGACTTCAGCAGCAGGTACTCCTAGACATGGACCAGTGGCATAATCAGTAATATGTCACTGATTTTTCAGTTGCATTAATGAGTAATTTGTAATAGATTACACTTTCGTAGTAACTTTAACAACCTTTCCCACTGAACACTGGGACACTGGGAAACCATCAGAACAGAGGATTGCTGTCCTGTGTCTTGAGCAACCAAATGCCTGGTGCTGCCATCTCAATGACTGTGATC